CTGCAGCTTGCTGGCTTGTGTGGAGCTCTCTCTGCACTGAGCTGGATTCACTTTCTCTCTGATGGTTAAACACATTTGTCCTTGGACTATGATTGGTTGGCTACTTCCTCTCTCACGGCCTCCCATTTTCCAGGCTTCAGTGATTTGTCAGAATTGCTGCCGACTTTTCTGTGTGGCCTCTTTTCTTTTTATCTTCATCCTTCAGCCCCCGCCCACCGCCCTTCATCCTTTATTATCTTCTCATGATATCAAGCATTAGGGCTCTGCTTCTCTATTTCCTCCTCACATTGAGCCATGCTTCAGAGTTCATCAGTCCAGCTTTCACAAGCAACTGGAAAATAATCTGACTGGCTTAATCAAGACTATGAATTCTGTTTTTTAAGGTAGAGAAAATGTATATTATCACACATTAATGGGGGTCACATCACACATGAAGTGTGTAAATCATTCAGGTGTTGCATGTAACGGAGCTCAGATTTTTAAAGCTCTTGATTATGTAAGGAGGGCGGACCAAACACATTCCATCTGGACAAGAATGAGAGTAAACTTTCAATAACAGCTAACCATTAGCCCATTAGCCTCTGATTTGTATATCACTTGATTAACTGATTCATCCGGATAACATCTTGAGACTCTTACGTTCAAGACGTTTCCTTCAATAAAACAGCAAAAGAGTTCTGACCTCTGATGGAAACACTATTCCTCTGCTTTTAGCTGACATATAACAGATAGAAAGTCCAGCATGTGCATTTTAATGGCTCTCCCTGTCGGTTTTATCCTGCTGTTATTCTCTGAATCTGTTTTCCAGAGCGAAACGTGATATTTGTTACATGAGATTGGTGCCTTTTGTGTTCTAAATCACAGGTAAGAATACATTAGTTTAACCTGTAGACAGAGGGAAAATGGAGGCTTAAATGTCTGAGCAGGATTAAATTTGGATACACATTCAAATAAAAAGTGTAATGTCCATTTCTATCCATTTGGAAAAGTCAACATTTTACTCACACAGAAATACATTAAATTTTCTCTGCAGTTGAAGCTTGAAGCAAATAATGGCGTTTTCACCACAATTCTACATGATTATATTTATTTTTTCTGCATCAGAAATTATTTGACCCATCTGACCACAATGAGACATTTCCTGTTTGTTTGCACTTCTTTGTTTCTATGTTTCAGTTTTGAAGTGATCAATTGTTAAAAACGTAAGGTCCCAGGGACACATCTTTTTGTAGTGCATGTGGGTCTCTGCTAGCCTGTTGAGTCATCCGATATATATATATATATATATATATATATATATATATATATATATATATATATATATATATATATATATACACACACACACAAATACATACATGCTGTATACCCCAACTCATGATGTTATGCTTAAACCCCAACTCACTGCACCAGTTGGGGTTCAATAACTTGTTGCCAGCTGAAAGATAATCACCCATTCAGTACTTATCCAATAGGAGGCTTGAACCTATTTGTTTAGTTAAATCCAGGTGGCGACTTTCTCATTTGGCCGGGCAGTGTGCGAATAAACAACATAATGTGAAACTAGAGATTGTAAAACACTATGTTTTAGGTCTGACGGCTGGCAGCGCACTTTCATGAATGAGAGGCGTTGCTTTTGGCCGCAGATGTGGAAGTAGTCACAATGGCTTAAAGTGTGATGCGTTTCTCAGCCTCTAGATGGTGCCATTGGGTAAAAAATACTCCAGACTGTAGCTTTAACTTCATCCTAAAATGAATGACATCATCACGTTAAAAGGGTCGTTATCATACTGACAGGCTGCTTCCTTCTCTTAGAAAGACAACAGAAATCATGAAAGATGAGGTCAGATAACCGTGATGGGTTTCTGTGTTGCCGTTTGGAATGACATGTGAAGAGGGGCCTTCACCCACCCCCTCCCTCTCAGGGCTCCTCTGGCCTGTGTATAATTGATGAGTAAAGTGAATAAGACATGAGTTTGTGACTGTCAGCCCGCCTGATGGGCATGGACACAGCTCAAGTTTGGCTCTCCTCATCTGGCTGATGATGACAATGATGCCCGCACATTCCTCCATGAGTAACCACTGGACTACAGTCGTATTGTGCATCATCATCATCATTGCTATCTGTTCTGGGGGACAACACAAAGATTGAGGGACATGCCATCAAAAAAGAGGCAAGAGGAAGAGAGAGAGAAAGAGATGAAGGGTGTGGTTTGTAGTGTAAAGAGAATGAAGAAGATGCAGAAAGATTAAAGGATTGGAGGGAACGGAGGAGGGGATGGAATCATCAGGGGATGAGGGAACATTAATAAAGGGTATTGATGAACGACAGCCAAATTAATCAAAGAGTTTTCATTCAGATTTGTAGAAATTTGACTTGGCAGTGTCACGGTCTGCGTTCTGCGTCTCCCTCATGTGTCTCCTTGTGTTCTACATCCCTCTCTAGGTTTCCCTCATGTGTCTCCTTGTCTGCATCCCTCCTCATGTGCCTCCTTGTGTTCCCCAGGCCACTCCAGGTTTTTCCCCTTAGATGTTACCCCCAGGTTTCAGAGTCCCTGTGTGTCCCCATCCCCCTCCAGGCTCTCTAGGTTTCCCTTACGTTTTTCCTTAATCACCTTTTATCATTAGTCTTCTGTTAGTGTTTATCTAGTCAGTATTCTCCCTTTAGTTCATTTTGCTCACTTCCCCATTTTTAGGTTTGGTTTCCTCCCCTGCCCCATTGTGCTCCTCCTCTGTTTATTAGTCCCAGCTGTGTACAACTCCCCAATCAACCAGCCCTTGTGTATATAACCCTGTCTGCGTCTCAATATGTTGTTGGGTCCTTGTCAGCGTTGTTGTTCCCCCCCTCTTAGGTCTATTAGGATTTTGGCTTCGTGCCCTTCTAGGATTTTTTGGCTTCGTGCCCTTCTAGGATTTTTGGCTTTTGTGCCCATCTAGGTTTTATTTAGGCTTTGTCATTCTTAATAAAGAATGTTTTCCTTTACATCCTCTCCTGCCTCATCTCGTTCTGGGTATCTGCACATTGGGTCCAACTCCTCCAACCCACAACATGACAAAATGAACCAACCAGCCCAGGACCCAGCAGTAACCCCAGGTTATCCGACGCTTTGCCATGGGATATACACCTTTGACGATGACCCGGACACCTGTCGAAGGTTCATTTGAGACTGTGTGAGCTTTATGGATATGGATGGCTTGGACATCGATCTAGTTACATTTATGGTGCTTTGCCTGAAGGGTAAGGCCCTGCAATGGGCCACCCGCTATTTCGAGCAGGGGAAGTCAGCTTTTGGATTTTTGCTAAGGATCTACAAGATGCCCTCTGCTGCAACCCACAACCACCCACTTCACTCACCGCTACACCTTCATCTGGCCCAGGCAGCGCTACAGGCTCTTCCCTGGTGGACTGCCATCTGCCAGCTGCCTCCGTCTTATTAGGCGCCTTCTCTGCATCTCTGAGGGGCCGAACCTCCACACCTTCACTTGGTCTGGACAGCGCTACCCCCTCACCTCTGGTGGACTGCCATTCACCCTCACCCTCGGCCTCAGCCGGCGCCATCTCCGCTCCTCTGATGGCCCGAACCTCCACATGTCAACGTCAACACTGTTACCGGCAGTCTCCTGAAGCAGAGCAGCACCATCAGTCCAGGTGTTTCCTGCTCTGCAACCCCAGCCTGTCCAAGAAGCTCCACCAGCAGCGACACAGCTTGTCCAAGAGGCTCCGCCTGTCCAAGAGGCTCCGCCTGCAGCGGCTCCATTGGTCCAAGAGGCTCCGCCCCTGGCCCAGCCAACCCAGCCGGTCCGAGAGCCCTCGTCTTCGCCTGCAGGGTCTACGCCTGAAGAGTCCCGGTCTACACCTGCAGAGTCCCGGTCTATGCCTGCAGGGTCTACGCCTGCAGGGTCTACGCCTGCAGGATCTATGCCTGCAGGGTCTACGCCTGCAGGGTCTCCAGAGACTTCGTCTCCAGAGTCTTCGTTTCCAGAGTCTTCATCTCCAGAGTCCCCTCCTCATCCTCATCCTCCTGTGTCCCTTCCTACTCCACCAGAGTAGTTGTCTCTTTCTCCTCCACCAGAGTCGTCATCCCTTCCTCTTCCGCCAGAGTCTTCGTCCCCTCATCCTCCACCAGAGTCTTTGTCCCCTCATCCTCCACCAGAGACATCGTCCCCTCATCCTTCACGAGAGTCGTCGTCCCTTCATCCTCCACCAGAGTCTTCGTCCCCTCAGTCTCCTGAGTCTTTGTCCCGGTTCCCCGTCGCCAGCCTCCCAGACTCCCCCGGTCCCCTTGTTTTTCGTTTTGTGTGTGTGTCTTGTGGGAGTCTGGTATTTGACCCTTGGTGGGTGGGAGTGGGGGTGGGGGTACTGTCACTGTCTGCGTTCTGCGTCTCCCTCATGTGTCTCCTTGTGTTCTCCATCCCTCTCTAGATTTCCCTTATGTGTCTCCTTGTGTTCTCCATCCCTCTCTAGGTTTCCCTCATGTGCCTCCTTGTGTCCCCCAGCCCACTCCAGGTTTTTTCCCTTAGGTGTTCCCCCTAGGTTTCAGTGTCCCTGTGGTTCCCCAGCCCCCTCCAGGCTCTCTCTGGGTTTCCCTCACATTTTTCCTTAGTCACCTTTTATCATTAGTCTTCTATTGGTGTTTATCTAGTCAATATTCTCCCTTTAGTTCATTTTGCTCCCTTCCCCATTTTTAGGTCTGGTTTCCTCCTCTGCTCCGTTGTGCTCCTCCTCTGTTTATTAGTCTCACCTGTGCACAATTCCCTAATCACCCACCCCTTGTGTATATAACCCTGTCTGCGTCTCAATGTGTCGTTGGTCCATTGTCCTTGTCAGCGTTGTTGTCTCCCCCCCCCCCCCCCCCCCCCCCCCAAATCTATTAGGATTTTGGCTTTGTGCCCTTCTAGGATTTATTTAGACTTCGTCATTCTTAATAAATAATTTTTTCCTTTACATCCTCTCCTGCCTCGTGTCGTTCTGGGTATCTGCACATTGGGTCCAACTCCTCCAACCCACAACGTGACAGACAGAGTGAAATAAATCCACTGTGTCCCTTTAAATCTAAATTTAAACTGCCAAATTAGGCAGTGTTTCATATTTTATTCATTTATAAACAATAAAAAAATCTGTCTCAATAAAGCCACTTGGAGAATCTTTTGAAGATAACTCTCACCTCTTTAATGCGGGAAGTCTCTTGTCGAGGCTGGGCAGACTATTTAGGAACCTTTAGAGCTCCATGAGTTTGCTGACTGGAGGATCTGGTCTCTACTTTTTGTGGATGGTGTGGTCCTTTGGGCTCCATAAAACTTTGACCTTCAGCTATTGCTATGAAGGTTTGCAGGTGAGTCTGAAGCAGCTGGGGTGAGGATCAGCAACCTCCAAACCCGACGCCACGGCTCTCAGTCGGAAAAGGGCGGATTACCAACTCTGAGTTGAGGGAGAAATCCTACCTTAAATGGAGGAGTTTCAATTACCTCGAGGTCTTGTTCAAAAGTGAGGGAAGGAGGGAGCGAGAGATTGACAGGTGGATTGAGGAAGCATCTGCAGTGATGTATATATGTGATGCATTGGAAAACAGAGGAAGATGGATGGATTGTGTCATGAGTCTGCTGTTTTTCCCTCTGAGTCTATTTGCAGGTGGGCGTGTCGGAGAGCCTCAGCTGCTGCTGATTTCTCATCAGCAAGGCCAGGGGATTTAAGGAGTGGCATGTCCACACTCCAGCGCCGGTTGATACTCTCACCTGGGTAGCTTCCAGCCTCGTCCTGAAATTGTACAATTTTTGCAATCTTGCTCTGCTTGTCCTGTTTAATTACCTGTCCTGCCCCCCCAGATCTACTACCAAGTCTCAGCCTGAGTTCTCTTCTGTCCTGGAGTGTGTACCTCAGCCTCGCCACTCATTCTCCCCTGGTCATCTGCTCTCCGCCGTTCACCTGCTCTGGATATTCGTCAACCACATCCATCCAGCCTGAACCATCGACCAGACCTAACCTACCCTCTCCTCACATTCATCCTCTGTTCTGTTTCCGTAAGATCTCCCTTCCCTCTATTGTATCTGGTTCTCTCGTTCCTGGTTTAACCTCCATGTGTTTGTTTCTATTTTTAGACCCTGACCGGGTTTCCGCTTCGTCTAAGATCGCCCTTAGTTCCCGTTGGCTTTTTCCAGCACCCGTTTGGAGCTGCGTCCTTCGTTATTATTATTTTTTCATTTAATAAAATCAAATTCTTATTTTTACCTCTTGCCTTGTGGTGATTCTTTCATGTGGGTCAGGAAGCTTCCTACGATCATGATGGATGGATGGATGGATGGATGGATGGATGGATGGATGGATGGATGGATAGACTCTTGTATAGGTGGTTTGCAGACAAGTGCTATTGTATAATATAAGCAGAATCTCTTCAAATGCCCCAGACACAATCATGTGTATTCATTTGTTTTTAAATATCTATTTTTACCTGAATTTATTGAGAATATTCATGTAATAAATGGGTGCAAGGACACGTTTAAGCTCTTAATCATCTCTTTAGAATGCATCAGACAGAATACAGTAATGAATGTCAGCATGCCTGCATTGGCGTGTCACTATTACAAATGTTTGGACTGTCGCTCGCTGCTGTCAGATGAATAAATCACTGAGGTCATCCCCAAACCGTTTTCTATCCATCTTCCCTTTTAATAGCCAGTCTTCCTTTTCTGAGACAACACTTTACATCTCATAGTGCTCCTTCGAGGAGGAATTACCAACAGAAATTGGACTTGTTACACTTTTGATGGGAATAGGCATCCTGCAAATGGCTTTTATGAGATTTTTTTTTCTAATGCCACTCACTGTGACACACACACACACACACACACACACACACACACACACACGTAAAATATACGGATTTGACCGTGAATGTGTCATGATTCCTGTTTAGTGTCTAATTTGAAAATAATATGGAAACTAAAACTTGTTCGCTGTGTGTAATAAAACCAGTTCCTTTGTGACCCAGATCTTTTAATTTAGGGCTTTTTAAAAAGCTGTCTAACTGGGTTATATTATAACCCAGCGCTTTGGGCTTCCTGACAGGGTTGCGGAAGGCGCTTTATAAATAAAGCTTTGATTGATTGATTGATTGATTGATTGATTGATAATCTGCCAGGCTTTGGTTCCCATCAGCAGGGAGAAAACAAACAATCACTGATGGACAAGAGTCTGCTTCTAGACCTGCAGAAGGAGAGAAAAAAAAGAAAAGGGACACACAGCAAATACAACACGAGCAAGCTATCACTGCGTCAACCTGATGAGGAAATATAAAATCAACATTGTTTTACTAAACAATCACGATAATAAATCACAGTGCATTTAGTGCCAACCATATCCAACATGTGTTGAACGTGCCCAAGTCCATGCTTGAGAGAGCACCATGTGAGAACCTGTGTGCGTACCCAGCTTGTGTAAGGTTTCTCTATAGGAGCGTCCAATAGAGAGTGTGAGGGGCCACAGATCTGCCCCCCAAAGATGCGTAGGAGATGGAGGGAGCTCCAAGTCTCAGAGATTCAGGAGCTGCCCCAGAGCACAGGAACCCCAGGGAGACTGCGACCAGAAAAGCCCCTGCCCCCCTCGAGAGGCGCAGAAGATTGCCCTGTGGGGCCACAACCAACAGCCAGCAGAGTCCCGGGGGATATCAGTGGCAAACCCACAGGCCTGCCCGCAGCCTCCCACCCCCAAGCTGGCCGAGCCCAGAACCCAGCAACCTGGGACCCAGGGACGACCAGCCCCGCCGGGGACCCAACAGAGCCCAGGGACCCAGATCCCACCAGGCCACCACCGGGATTGATCAGGCAGATGCTAAAAATCTTAAACCCCCTGACCCGGGAGCCACGAACACTCAGGCAGACCAAGGCACCGCACTTCACACCAGGTGTTTGACGGGGGAGGGGAGGCAAAGATGTATAGCAGCAAAAGAAGTCCCAGGAGAGGGGAGGAGTCAAAGGCCTCACCTGACGTATACAGTCATACACAAACACAGTCACACACTCCCTCCCTCATGCTCACACATACACACAGCGCCGGCGCTCCGCACATGCACACCACGCACAGCGTGTAGGGCACCACGCCGGGGAAGGGGCACCAAACGCAAGCTTATGAAAAAATTATATATATATATATATATATATATATATATATATATATATATATATGATAAAGACAGATTTCAATTAGAGGATGTGCAAAGCAAGTTAACAGCATGTTTACAGAGAGAAAACAATACAAAAAGGAAAGGAGATGGACCGTGTCCACTTTTCACTCTCTGTCCGGGACGTCCGGACTGCGGGTTCTTGTATGTCCGGCTTTTCATCCAGGAGCAGGGATCGAATTATGGGGGAGCTGTATATCCTACACATCCAGTGGAGCCGGAAAAAAGTTTTCTACCTATATTACATCATTTATGGACTCTTTTGAGCAGAGAGCACAGACAGCTGCACAGCGCTGATCGTTGATGCGCAGCAATCCAGACAGCTGCTTCCAGCGCACGGTCCATTCTCAAAGTGGCACAACCAAAAAACTATAATTAACACACGATCGTTCATGTCCGCACATGTTCTCTACTTTCTGTCTTATTTGTGACTGAAGCGCTCTGCTACTGCGGAGCTCATCACCTGCACTGCGGAGATTTCTCCTCACTGATTGCGTTTACATGCAGCCAGTAACCCTTTTAAAACCAGAATATTCACAATAACCCGGTTCCGCAGGTCCATGTAAACACCGCCAAAAACCCGGATATGCTCATAACCGGGTTTTTAAAAACCTGTTTACTACACCTGGGGTAACCCTTTTCTAACCCGATTGTTTGGTCATCTAAACGCATACCGGGATATCCCCATCAAAGCGTGTGTTCTGCGCATGCTCTGTTCGCAAGGAATCTTGGTCTTTTGAGTAGCGAGACGTCTTGTATACGCCAGAACACCGGAAGTAAACAACAAGTTGGGAGCAACATGGCAAGTCGCGGCACAGCACCACACTTTTGGAGTGACGAGGAAACGAAAGCGCAAACAAACGCGGTCGCTATCTCTTCCGAACTGGGAAACAGGTTTTTGTTTTCACGGATACCGGAACAAGAAGAACCGGAATTGACGCATATTGCATCTGGACGTAGTCCATACGTCCTGACGCTACCCCAACGTCCGCATTTAAATCGGGTTATGCAAGTTAGGGGTAACTCTTTCTATTTATGCTTGTAAACGGGTTATTCTGATCAACTCAGAAACCCGAATACCGACCTTATCCCGATCATAACCCGGATATGTGTGGCCGTGGTCAGGACGCAGATCTACCGACCGCAAAAACAGCGGAGTGCTCCCTGCTTGGTGGCCGCATCAGTGATCGGTGCATCACCGGATGACAAGGTGATGCGCCCTGCTCCACAGCGAAACGCATCAGGCGCAAATAAAAGACAGAAAACATCAAAGGAAATGAACCAACATGAACGATCGCGTGCTAAATTAGTTTTTGAGGTGGCGACACCTGATTTGATAATGTTACTGTGGCCGTGGTCAGGACGCAGATCTACCGACCGCAAAAACAGCGGAGTGCTCCCTGCTTGGCGGCCGCATCAGTGATCGGTGCGTCGGAGGACAAGGTGATGCGCCCCGCTCCACAGCAGCGAAACACATCAGGTGCAAATAAAAGACAGAAAACATTAAAGGAAATTAACCAACATGAACGATCGCATGTCAGTACCAACGCTCTGGCACAGCGCATTGCCACCCCCCCCCCCCCCCCCCCCCGAGTGCAGGAGCTTGTCACCTGCTGTCAGCAGGCTGCTGTCTTTTCCGAGGGCTGCATCTTGCCGGTCATTATCACGTGACAGCGACTAGTCGATGTCAGGAATAAAAAGTCACTATAGTGAAGTCGACTAGTTCATACAACCCTTATTGCTCCCCAGTGTTATGCAGAGCACGTTCTCTTTGAACTTGATATCAAATTTTCGCCTCCTCTTCGTCTCCGCACGGTTAAAGTTACCCTCGCGGTCTATCACTGGCAAATCAAAAGTGAGACGATGACACAACCGCCCCCCGTACTTGCTTCTTACCACATTCCACCTGGCCACAATAAGAGACCGGCCATTATTCACCTCACACACACACACACACACACACACACACACACACACACACACACACACACACACACACACACACACACACACACAATATCAATCCTACTTTTTGGAAAATAATAAGCAGTTTGTGCATAGAGAATTAAAGAGAATTTAAGGTGAAGCGCTTGCGCATACTGTGTTATTGTGTTGTTTTTTCTGTGTGTGTGTGTGGGGGTGGGGGGTGGGGCACCACGAAGCGTTTGTGCTTAGGGCACCAAAATAGCTAGCAACGGCCCTGCATACACATACAACCTAAAACTCACAAAAATGGATGGCAGACACCCACTCATACTCCCCATACACACCCTATTCACTCTGGTCCAGGTACTGCTGCATCGTCACTGGTTCCCATAGTTCAACCCTTTCTGCTGAGGTGCTGATGAGCAGGTCGCTGTGGTGTTTGCGCTCCATGTTCAACCTTTAACTGAGCACAACTTGGTTCTGACCATGGACATAATTTTTTTTTGGGGGGGGGGGGGGCATGTCCCCCCCACTTTGTCCAAAGTCAAGTTTTGACCCCTGCACTTTTTACCATCCAAAAACAATGTTACGCTATATTAAATTTACACTGGACCAAGCGGAAAACAACCGTTTGTGTTGAAGCCTGTTTTCCATTAGAGCATACTCTAAAGATAACTCCTCCCCCCATCCCCCCGTGACCCCCCCCCCCCACACACACACACACACACACACACACTTCTAAAGTGAAAATTATGTCCATGGTTCTGACATTCATCTGTTTTAAGTGTGAGTGAAAATGGTCGAGCAGAAAACACGTGGACAAAGGTGATTACTGATTCAGAATCAGCCATTAACCCTTTGATGCATAATGGTCACTACAGTGGACAGGTACCCAAACTTGTTATTTATTTGTTTTTGCTATTAAGCACAGCTGTCGAAGACTTTATTGCATTTGAGCCCCTCCGTTTGGACTTCAGTAAGCCAAGCCAACATATTTCATGCTCAGAATGCATGCTGTCCACTGAGATGGACATGTAATAAATTACTTGTAAATTATAAAATTTTACAAAAAAATATTTGTTGAAATTGATTTCATTCACATCTAAAGACGAATAAAAAAATTGT